TGTCATGATTTTTGCAATGAATGGCTACCGTTTCCATTTAAGGCCAATATTATTATTTTGCCGATAGAAATCGTTTTAACAAACATAATTTCCGCATACTGATAATATCATATATATTACCTGTAAGGTACTGTAGTGCATATCATCGATACAGATGCGTTAAAAGATTTTACCGAAAATAACAGCGTCGCACATGTCCCATAATCTAAAAAGACGTATGACAAACTATGGGATTTGAGAAGGAAGAGAAACGTACGGGTTAAGAACGCTAATGAGCTTGGAGGAATCAGAATCATATGACAGAGCATGAACATAGGCACTATTGTAGACGAGAACACTGCGATAGTCTGAAAGTGCAGGTGATAGAAGAAGATTGAATTAACAAAGAAATCTAAATTTTATATGACAATATATGCTAAAATAGATGCTTCAAATTTGCTATTCCTAATTTCAACATTTGATTTCTAATTCCAATCTTATCAGTTATTTTTCTAATATTAAAACTCATAGGTTACCTACCTGAATGATGAGCCCGATGATGGCTTTACGATGCATATCACGCGATGTCTGGCTAAATTTTGCGTGATCTTTCAGAATTATTGATGTATGTTTGATGATTATAGTAGCTCCGATGAATGCTGCAGACGATCCAATGGCCAAAGCGCCAAGCCACAAATAGATTGTAGGACCGCCAGTAATTATAAAACTCGCATCGAGTTCAAGAGATGAGTCAAGCTTAATTGTTTTTTTTTTTGGAAAAGAAAGGATAAAACAAGTAAAGGAGGGAAAGACAAGAAATTAGAAACATGCACCGTCAGAGAATACTACCTTCAAAACCTTTTTTTTCTTAATTTATCAATTTACCTTCAAAGCTTCGGAAACGCTCTCGCGATTATCCTTGAATGCCCAGATCGAAAAAGGAGTTGACATGCCGGTAGTAATAATTGTAACACCAGCCAACGTTATGAACATCATTTTCATGGAGAAATCATAAGGTGAATTAAAAAGGCAAAGTTTATATCGATACAGATAAGCATCAAAAAATGCGCAATCCACCAGACAATGTAGCACAGTGGAGAAGCCATGAAATTAGAATTTTTACCTTGAATGTTTTGGAAATGTGAAAAAAAA